GGGCAAACTTACTTGCTATCCTGACATTAAAGACTTAGGCTAGACTTAAATATTTTAGCAGTTAGCTTGAATGTGCTGTTTCTTCCTGTTTATACTACTCTAACAACTTTATTTGACGTTGTCAAGGACTTCATTCTTCTTGGATCAACTATCAACACTCATGGAAGCAGCAGTCAAGAAATCAGATGACATATTGCATTAGGCAAAGAAGCGCAAAGATGTCAGCTTGAGGACTAAGGTGTACCTGACCCAAGCCATGGTATTTTCAATAATCTCATATGCATGAGAAAGCTGGACAGTGAATAAGGAAGACCGTAGAAGAATTGATGCTTTTGAGTTATGGTGTTGAAGGAGAATATTGAAAGTGCCATGGGCTGCCAAAAGAACCAACAGATCTGTGTTGGAAGAAGTGCAACCAGAGTGTTCCTTGGAGGCCAGGATGGCCAAACTTTGTCTCTCATACTTCAAACATATTGTCAGGATGGACCAGTCACTGGAGAAGGATATCATGTTTGGTAAGGTGGAGGGTCAGAGAAAAAGAGGAAGACCCCCAACAAGATGGATTGGCAAAGTGGCAGCATCAATGGGCTCAAGTGTGGCAACAGTGGTGAGGTTGGCCCAGGTCCGGACAGTGTTTTGTTCTGCTGTGTATAAGGTCGCTATGAGTCAGTACCGACTCGACGGCACCTAACAACAACAACAACAGCAACTTTATGTTGTTGAGATAATAATTCAGAGTTAGTAGTTTAGTTTTGTCTTCAAAATGGAGTATAACCAACTCTGGATATCCATTACTGGAATTTGAAGTCCTTGAAAAGTCACTTTGAATTTTAATACTCTCAAAAGGAGGTAGAAAACTCACCATAAGCCCCTTTGGAATATTAAATCACAGAAGACACAGAAGGGACGATCTGACCTCTGAGTACTTTTCTGGATCAACAGCAGAAGACACCATTCTTTCTTTAAGATTTATCGTTAAGTGCTGTTGAGTTGGTTTCAACTCAGAGAGACCCTATATAGGGTTTCCAAGGTATTTCAGATTTAGAAAAATAAATATTGACATAATGATCGTCTGGTTAGAGGACATAATTGTTGTTGTTGTTGTTTAGTGCCGTCGAGTCGGTTCCGACCCATAGCAACCCTGTACAGGGTTTCCGAGGCTGTAAATCTTTACGGGAGCAGAACGCCTCATCTTTCTCCCGTGGAGCAGCTGGTAGTTTCGAACTGCTGGCCTTAAGGTTTGCAGCCCGATTCGTAACCACTACGCTAATTAGAACCCTATAAATTACCCACCCCCCAGTACTATCAAAAGACTCTATTCTCTGCCTGTTCTTTAGTAATTAACACCTCCCCTTAGACTATTTGGCTGCTGCTCTCTGGAGGAAAGGTATGGCAGTTTGGTTCCAGAAAGATTACAGTGTTGGAAACCTTATGGGGGAGTTCTACTATGTTTCATAGGATTGCTTTGAGTTAGAATCTACTCAACAGCAATGGGTTTGGGGTTCAGACTATTCAAGACTCTCCCCTATAATTCTTAGTCTGCTCATTAATTTGACTTCAAAAAAGTATTAGTACACCTCCAAGTGTGTACAAACTGAGTAATTAAGGGTACATTTACATGAATTTGTTTATTGCTTCTGGGAAGGAGATTTTCTCCATTACTACTATCATGGAATAGGCAATGTACCTTATATTACTACCATAAATGATTGCTGTTATTGTTAAGTGCTGTCGAGTCAGTTGTAACCCATAGCAACCCTGTATAGAGTTTCCAAGGAGCAACTCATGAGCCTGAACCACTAACCTACCGATTCAAATGGACTGTGCAGTCCAGCGCATTAATCCACGGCACCACACCAATGATTATTGAAGTCTAAATTCCATATAATTTTCCTGTCGTAGAAAATTTTTCTAACATCTTGAAAAGTGAAAAGGTAAAACATTTAAGAAGCTCAATGAACCCCAGGAAGGACAGAACCCCAAAAGAAAATCACCAAGACATATCATAATCAAGCTCTCTAAAATCAAAGGTAAGGAAATACTCCTGAAAGCAGCTAGGGAAAACAGAAGTGTCACATACATAGGCAAGCAAGTCAGATTAAGCTTTGATCTCTTAGCAGAAGCCATGCAAGCAAGAAGGCAATGGGGAGACATATATAAAACCCTGAAAGAAAAAAATTGCCAATCAAGAATCCTTTATCCAGCAAAGCTATCAATCAAATATCATGGTGTAATCAAAACATTCCAGGATAAACAGAAGCTAAGGGATTTTGCCAAAGCCAGCCCTGTGCTACAAAACATCCTAAAGGGAGTTCTGTGGACTGAGAACCAACAATAACAGACAACAACCAGAGATTGACATATGTGGTAGCACCTCCCAGAATTAAATTGACAGAAGGAAGAGTCAAGAACAGAACAAAACTATAAGAACAAACTCAGAGAATCTGGGAAGTCAGTCTATGATCAAAAGATATAATTTTCCTATTGTGAAAAAAAGTTTTTTTTAACTTAAAAAAAAAAAAAAGTAAAACCCATTTTTATCTTGCAGATTATATAAAAACAGGTAGAGGGCTAGATCTGACAAGTGGGCTATAGTTTGCTAACCTCTAATTTACACTTTTTTTAAAAAAGGCATTTTACTAAGTTAAATGTCATATAAAATTCTAATAATATATGACTTGGTTCTCTCCCTTTTATTTTAAGATATAGTATATTTCACTTAATTTATGCCCTTATTCATGATAAGGGTTTTTCTTCATTTTCCCTTGGTCAAATGATAAATCCTTTATATAACATGAAAGCTATTTACTTAAAAATTTATAAATCATAGTCAATTATACTGTCAAGGTTACTTTGTCCAGAATACATGCACATTGTAAATTTTTTGATATTAGACATTTTATTTTAAAGTAGTAAAGGTCTATTTCTCACAACTTCCAATATCTTAAGATATTGAAGGAGTGATTTAGTGAGAAGAGAAAAATACAATAAATAGCCAGAAAATGTCTGAAAGATGCTAAAGAAAATAAGCAGTGCCTTAGTACAAACCTTATTTCTCTCAAGGGAATGAGTACGCCAAACTTTTGTGTGGCAATGAAGATTAAGCAACTGTGAGATATTAGGAAAAATGGGTATATGGACTGGTGAGCGAAGTGTTTTGTAGAAGGATGAATTAGAACATTTTCCCTTAGTGAAATGAATTCTTATGCAGAATTTCCAAAAAGAGAGTATGAGCAGTTTCTTTAGTTGGGTCTACTTGCTAACTTATACTCTATCATTTACTGGGTTGAGGAGTGAGGATACTATTAAAAGTTTTGTAGGTAACAGAGAGAGTACTAGATACACCAGATATCTTATTTAAATTCACAGTATTTTTGTTACATTTTCTAAGCATGCTAGCAATACTACTACCCAATGTCTAGATCTTCATATATATATAACCAAAAACAGTAATACAGAGACTACAAAGATGATTTGTGGTTGTTGTAGGTGTGCTGCCGAGTCAGTTCCAACTCATAGCGACCCTTTATAGGATTTCCCAGACTGGAAATCTTTATGGGAGCAGAAAGCCCCCATTTTTTCCCCGGTGAGTGGATGGTGGATTCTAACTGCAGACCTTGATTTAGGTAAGACACTATGCACTATCTTAACCTGGGGTGGCGCTGCAGGATAATGCGCTGGACCGCAAGGTCAGCTGTTCAAATCTACTAGTCACTCCCAGAAAACCCTGTGAGGGTCACTATGAGTCAGAACTGACTGAACTGCACTTAACAACCTATTTGTCATTGATAAAAGCAGCAGCATAAAATACAAACTTTCAGATAAAATAAACCACTGATTACAGGTCACATTTGCTTTTTCTAACCTACTCTAATTTTATATCTAAACAATGAACGAGAACTGGATACCTTGTAATCCTATTAAATTGCTTGCAATGTAAAATGCTCCCTTTTAAAAAACTTAGTGGGGAAAACATAACATATTTACAGGTTTAGCTTGTGGCGTTCATTTAAAGAATGTATGGCATGATTTTAGAATAAGGAGAATACTTTTCAATATAATTTATGAAAAAAATCAATGTTACAGTACCTTACTAGGATCAAGTAAGAATCCTATTGGCCCAAATTACCCAGCCCCCAAAAAAGATCCAATTATTTTACTTTAAATAAATGTAGGATGATATAAAGATTCAGTGAAAATTAAGAGTAATTTAAAAAAAAAAAAAAGAGTACATATGGGCTTTTATATCCCATTCTGTCTTAAAAAAAAAAAAAAAAAAAAGCCACGGTAAAAACCAGACAACTAAGACTTAAGTTCTTATTCTTATACACCATTGCACTAAAGCTTTTTCAGGACCCTTGTTTTCATAGATACAAAACAAGACATCTGCCATACAAACAAGAGCAGATGTCTTTTTCTGCCACTGTGACAGAGAATACATGTTTGAGAAGGTATAATGTTATATCTACTTGGGTATAAGAGGGCAGTCAGTCTACTCAACACAGTTTCTTAGTTTTCAGATAAACCAAACCTTAAAAACTACATAGAAATAGTATCCTATGGTGGCTGTGGTGGCTGTGTGCCATGGAGTCGTTTCAGACCCATAGCGACCCTGTACATGGTTTCCGAGGCTGTAAATCTTTACGGGAGCAGAAAGCTGTATCTTTCTCCCACGCAACAGCTGGTAGCTTCGAACTGCTGACCTTATGGCTGGCTGCTCGATTTGTAACCCCTACGCTACCAGAGCTCCTTAGTCTCATATACTAGAGTTTAAAGAAGAGATATAAAGAAAATAGTAAATGCTTTTTGCTAAGTAAAGTGAAAAGCATGATGAACTTTGAAAAGGACACAACTAGAAACTTTAAAAAAAATGAAGCTAAATAAAGCATGAAATAAAGCATGTTCATACCTAGAAAAGATTTATAGAGTTTTAAATTCAGTAGAAAAGGGTAGAAATAAATTAAATTTGATTTACTCTGATTGAAAACTTTCATACTTACATCTTGTCTTGGCCAGCACCAACTCTGAGAGTTAATCTGGGGATAACTGGACTTGGGGCTGGAACAACAGGCTCCACTTTTATCTGTTAAGATTAGCACATTAGAGTTATTTTTTCCCCCCAATAAAAGTACCTCCTACTTATCAACAACATCAACAACCTCTTCTACTTCCCCATCCCCACAAACTTGATAGACAACTTTAAGTCTCAAGTATGACTAAAATGTCAGATGCAAAGATAACATGGACTATTCCATTATTTTGTTTCTCAAGGCCACCTGACATCATGAGAAAGTCTACAAACTTCAGTCACATTATATAGTCAAGTTATTTCTATATTTTCTTAGTTTTGTTTAATTTCTTAGATTTTACTATAGAGTCATCATTAAAAAAAATAACAAATTGCTACTTAAGAAAATTTCAGACTTAAATATTAGTATTTTAAAAATTCAATGGCATCTCTATGATAAGATAAAATGTCTACACTTACGGGGCTTGAAAAACATGAAATTCATCTTGTTTGTATTATATAAGAATGCTGAAACACGAAGTGTAATGACAGCATTATATTATTCTATTTTTTGGCTAGCAGCAACAAGATCTGTAATTCTATCAAGGAAAAAAACACATTTTAAGAGAATTTATGGTAAAGGCAATGGTTGTTTTGAATAAATTATAGACCTCCCAAATAAGTGAATTGTTAGAAAGGGAATACACAAGTCTATGTTTGAGGTTAAAGTCCTTCTTCACAATTTTTGGCTTGTAGATCCTGTAGTAAATATTTTGAAAGAACAAATGAGACAAAAGCTCTGTAGGTCTACATTATCTTCTATATTGCGTTTTCAATGGGGGTTTTATTGGCATTTTGGTGAAACAGTTCTTTGTTTTTCTAAGCATTGCTATATATTTAATATCCTAGTCTCTGGATACTACATGTCTGAGGGACACTGCTAGTCACTGTGATAATTGAAAGTATTCTAGTTACAAACCACGGATTTATACATTTCAAGCTCAAGAATTAAATCATATTGGAAGAATGTGGTGGCTCTAAAGGTAAATGAATATATAAAATAATGCTCAATACAAATTACACATCTATCGAAGCCTTTATTTTCTTGAATGCATTTTGTAGACCCTTTCTCAAGTCACATTGTACCCATGATCCCATCAAGATCTACTACTTTGACCATTCTCTTGAACAGTGACAAATAGGAGGTACTTAGTAAATACTTGTTGAGTAAACAAACTATCTTGCAAATACTCTATTTTTCTATTTTCCCAGGACCAACCTAAAATCAGAGACCTGGTGTGGCACACTGTAGGATAATGTACTGGACTACAAGGCTGATTTGAATGGGAAGGTTGATAGTTCAAATTCACCAGCTGCTCCTGAGAAACCCTATACAGTGTCACTATGAGTCGGAACTGATTCAATGGCACACAATACCAACCTAAAACCATCCTCCAGAGTACTGAGAGATACCAAATAAAAATTTTTGAACAATAAATTCATGCTATCAAAACTCCCAATTTTGATCACATTAGAAGGTCCTAGATAGAGTGGTACTGTGGGCTAATGCGTCAGACTGCTAGGTTGTTTGAGCTGCAAAGTCAGTGGTTCAAGCTCACTAGCTGCTCCCTATACAGTATCGTTATGGGTCAGAATTGACACGACTTCACTTAACAACAACAGATAGTATGGGAGAAAATATGGAACAAAACTCAAAATTAAGAATAACAAAACCCCAAAACTGGCTTACCAGTCAGAAAGAGACTGGAGGAACTCAACACTATGGCCCTCAGCCACCCTCCAGGTCTGGAACAGAACTCACCTTAGTGACCCACTGCCTTAAATATGGGTTGCACCTCAATGTAAAATAAAATAAGAAAAGAAAAAAAAAATCCTCACAACTAGACCAATAAATAACATCCTGATAAATGGAGAAAAGACTGAAGTTGTCAAAGACTTCTTTTGCTCAGATTAACCATTAACACTCATCATTAACGTTCACATTGTCTAACTCATGTGAATGTTAGACAATGAATAAGGAAGACTGTAGAAGAACTGATGCATTTGAGTTATGGTGTTGGAGAAGAATATTAAAAGTAATGCCAGGAGAACAAACAAATCTGTGTTGGAAGAAGTACAGCCAGAATACTCCTTAGAAGTTACGATGGCCAGACTTGGTCTCTCCTATTTCGGACATATTAACAGGAGGGACTAGTCCCTAGAGAAGGACATCATGCTTGGTAGAATGGAGGGTCAGTGAAAAGCAGGAAGACCCCCAATCAGATGGATTGGCACTGTGGCAGTAGCAATGGGCTAGAGTATAACAACAATTGTAATGATGGACCAAAACCCAGCACTGTTTCGTTCTGTTGTGCATAAGGTTGCCATTTAGTCAGAATCGACTTGAAGGCATATAACAACAGCAATACAAATAAAATGCATTAAGATAAAAACAACTCCCAACTTCATTTGTGTTTTCTATACTATCTGTTTATTTGGTTTATCAGTTAAACTAGATAAGGTCAGGGACCATCTGTTTTGTTTATTGTTATTTCCCAGGGTATCTGTCACATTCTCATGCATAAGATATATTTAATGACTGAATATGAACAATGATTTCTAACTTTTACCCTATCCCATAAGAAAAAATATTGAGACCACCAGGCAGGAGAACTTCAACTCCCTACAAATTTACAAATTTCTCTGCATCCACAGATATACTAGAGTCCATCTCCTCTAGACTTCTAAGAGGATTCTTCCATCATTTACGTTACTTATTTATGTTCAAGGTCTTTAATCATTTATTTTTATCTATCATTTAAGTGTGTTCAGCTTTTTTTTTTAAATTACCATTCCTTCAACCTTTAGCTAGCATCACCCATATTTTTTCCTTTGATTTATTGTTTCTGTTTCTTCTCTTCTCATTCATTCCTCAACCAACCCAATCTAATTTTTGTCCCAACCATGTTACCCAAACTACTCTTTCTAGACAGTATTTCCTAATTACCCATACCCAGTGTTTTTCTTATCATACCCCTACATTTCTTCAGTGAGATCATCAACAATTACGGTTTTAGTTATGTTTCAAACATGTTTTCAAGATCTTTCTCTAGATTAGCACTGATAGAATGTAGACTAAAATATACAGTTGTTTGCTGATCATTTCCAACTACTGATAATTTTCAACTAAATGTCTTGCAGGTGTTTTATGTAATGACATCCAAATCTCAGTTTATCAACGTCTCCACAAAAAATTCTGCTCTTCTTAATTGCCTCAGTTTTGGTAGATGACTTCTCAACTTGCCCAGTTCTTCAGAAAGTATAGTCCACTGCTTTCACCAGTAGCAGACGAAGAAAGGGTCACTAGAGGTAGAGTAAGACTCATATATAACTAGCTAGGACTTCTTTGTGCTCACTTCCAAAAGACTTTCTAGTATTATTATTATTATCATTAATTTAAACAAATTTGAAAATCAATGACCAGTCTTTATTTTGTGAACTACTTGATTGGTTGGTAGGTTATTTGTCCTGGAATTGGTTCCAACTCACAGCGACCCTGCATAGGGTTTCTGAGGCTGTAAACCTTTATGAGAGCAGAAAGCCTCATCTTTTTCCCAGAGAGCAGCTGGTAGTTTCGAACTGCTGACCTTGAGGTTAGCAGCTCAACTTATAACCACTATGCTACCAGAATTTCCTTGTGACCTACTAAGACTTCTACATTTTTCATGCCTTTCTGTATTATCTTTGAGACGATAAATATGAACAAACCAAACAAACATCTATGAGCTACTTACTATTTGTCATTGTACAGTGTTATTTTTTCAGTGTTTTCATATAATCATGTGGTAAATACTATGGTAACTCTTGTATAAACGGATCATATATGAAGCAAATATTTTTCCTTTTTTCTTTCTTTTTCTAATTCTAAAGTTATATAGAAATAGTCTTTTCTTTATTTCAGTCCCAGTTATGCTCTCTGTATAACCTTCATTCAGGGAATGAAGAATTAGAAAACTTTTCATATTCAATTCCAAATAACTTTAGTGTTACATAAAGTAAGGTTCTTCATTCCTTCACCCATGGTACTATTAGTTAAGCATTTAATATTTGCTTAAACTTTATTTTAAAATACTACTATATTTGTCCTATATTTGAAACAAATCTTATTATATACTTCATATTGTGTTTTGTCCAATTCAGTTACCATAATTGTATTTGTATAGCACTTTGAGAAATGTAAGTCATATATGTTGTTCACTTGGATCTTCACAGCCCCTAAAGGTCAGTGGGGAACGTATTAGTGTCTACATATAATGAAGGCTTAGAAAGATACAAGTGGCTTGTCCACAGTCAAAACCTTGCCAAGAAAACTGATTAAATCCAGGTCTCCTGACACCAAATTCATTCTAAGTTCTATCATATTGCTCTTTGACTCAGACAAATTTTGAGTCCTTTGTCTGGTAATGCATTCTCTTTCTTTGTCAATTTTTTGTTTTCCCCTAAATAATGAATGATGTACACCTGTGAGATGGCTAGGGTTAGTTATAAAATAATTTTTCTCTATGGAAGGTTAAAAAGCTTATATAAAAGCTCCATTCAACTGATCTAGTTGGATGTTTCATGTTTTAAATTATATGGCTGGGCAAAAGAACCAACACATGGCTTATTTGTGAATAACTATTAAAAAAGCTGGAGTCCTGGTATGGTGCTGTAAGATACGCACTGGACTGCTAGCTGCAAGGTCGGCTGTTCAAATCCACCAGCTGCCCCTTGAAAACCCTAAACAAGGTTGACATGAGTCAGAAATGACTTTATGGCACTTAATAACATTTAAAAAGTTATACAATATGAAAAAATTAAACCAGAAAATGGAGATACATTCCATTAGTCAGATTAAAAATGGTATCAATGTGCCTGGATTATTACTGATTTCTCTCAGAGCAGATAGTTACGAGAAATAGGAAGGAGTTCTTTCCCCACAGTTCAAACTACTGACTTTATAACAGGTATTTAGTACATTTGTTGAATTAATGAATGATTCAGAACCTGTTAGATCAAGGTTTTATCTGTAATGG